CGTGGCAGGCTGACATTTCAGAAGATGATTACATGCACGATTTCACCAGGGCCGCGCGTGCCCTCCAACTGCCAGCGCTTCAGCAACTGTTTTCACGTTGGCTTTCTTGTTCATTCCCCCCCACCCCCTCCTTTTTTTCTTAAGTTGAGCACCATTTTTCCCAGCTTCTCATATCTGTAGATGAACATGATTTATTCAGATGAAATTAGGCTCCGTTTTTATAAAGCCCAAGTTACTGCAAATGATGCTTGAGGTTTCGCAGCAAATATGAATTCCTGATCAGCGGCCATAAAGCACCGCTGCGGAGCTCGAGGCCTGCCCCCGGGACCACGGAGGCGCCGGGTGATTGACACCGAGTCCTCGCGTGCCTCCCGCTCCTGCCCAGGCTTCAAGATGGACCTCCGCCTCCTGCAAATGCACAGCTGCTCGGCTTGATAAATCACAGGACCCTTCTTTTCCATCACAGTTATCTGCTATTTACTACTTCGAGGGGAAGTGAATCACCGAGAGGACGTCGTGTGCTGCGTACACATCCTTCCTTCTCCTCCGGCACTTTGCCTGTTTCCACATTCCCGCGGAGCACGCTTTCCCGCGCAGTGCGTCCACCCCGGGCTCACCTGGACAAGCAAGCCTCCGGCCCATTTATCTTGGTTCTCCTTGCCCCTCTCTGCCCACTGACACAAAATCCCTAAGAACAAAAGACGCCTGAGAGGCACACACTACCAGGAGTAGGTGGAAAGCACTGTGTCGTTTTGCAAGTTGAGGTTTCCTTGTAATTGGCTTGTCTACCATACTGAGGCTTTGCCCCCTCTTCCGGCCCTGGCCTCCTGATGTTTTTCATTACTTGAGGCACCACCGCGCCTTTGGTATAGCGGACACCCAGCATCGTATAACAGATGAAACACTCTACAGTTGATGCTAGAGAAGAATGAAAAACAGGCCACCCCACCTACACGTGGCCCTTCCCGTCGTGCGGGTGGCAGGCGTAAGTTGGGGGAAGTCAGATTTGCTTTGTGACTGTGATCCGTGATCATCTGCGGACACACTGGCTGTTCCGGCTGAACCGTAAATGAAGCTCATCGCTCAGGCCAAACAAAGCAAGGCCAAAGGTTTTCTCTGGGATTGACCGCAGATAAGTTTTAAATTTAGGTAATGAAACATTTCATAGTTTTAATTTATCAGGGTTGTGCTTTGGTTACCATGGACTCACACACTTTAAAGCATACAATATGAGCTACCAGACACCCGAGTTCTCCCAGAATGCCTACTTAAAACAGGAGACCGGAGAAGTGAAAAGACAGGCAAGACTGGCCTTCAAAAGATGCTTGGATAGTCTCTCCCCTCTGACACCTCACAGGGATGAGCCTTCTACGGTCCTCACCAAGGACAGAGAAATGCCATCCCTTTGCACCGTCACTGGCCTATCAGGTCCCGCCTCAACGCCTTGGAGGCAGGCTTCCTGCCCTGGAGCAGAGAACAACAGCAGGCTTCCTGCACTGTAAACCCACATCCCCAAACCCTGCCGACCAAACCCACTTCATCATCAAGTTGCACGTCTTGAAACAAAACAGCGCTAAGCCCCGCACCAAACGTCCTTGGGCCTGGGCACTCCAGGGGGTTGTGCGGCCACATGGAAGCGGGACGGGCCCCGCGGAGCCGTGCACCATGACCTGGGCCGGCCTGCGCCACCCTGTTCAACTCGACGTGCAGAACTCAGAACGCACCCCTTAAGGTCTAAACCGTGTTCTGTTTTTCTGGGATAAAAACGAAAGTGCTGCCACATATGGAATTTTATATGAAGAGATGGTTAACATGCTGAAAAATGATAGTTTAGAAACTAGAATAGTCTGTGTAAATGAATGTGCACTAGGTGAGTGCCAGGCGATGGGTAGCCAGTGATACTGGGTTAGATCTCCACCTCGGGAAGGTCAGAACCTGGGGCGAATCTTTACTCAGTTCCATCCCCACCCGAGGGGTTCCTCTGACAGGCAGACTGTTAGGCTGTCACGAGGAGTCATGCCGACTATTTCCTAGAAATTACTGGCTTCCTCCCGATTAGGTAAGGTGGTAGGAAATGACTTCTGTCTCTGAGTCTCTAATTTAAGACCCCAGAAAATGTGAGTCCAATGAATTCAGTAGGTGTTCTAAGTCCTTATTTGGAAGGAGGGTTTCCGATGGCATCTCCAAATGGTTACAGATGGTTCTCACTTATGGAAATTACACGTGTGGCCCGAGCCGGGAACACAGGACAGGAGCAGCACAGAGCAGGTAGCTGCAGATAACCCGCTGCTAGGCCAGCAGGCGGAGGAACTCATTACTTTGAAATGAGCCAAGTCCCCCCAAGTTTGAACAGAAAAACTATTATATTTAAGGGGGAAATGCTCTACTCCACGGGAAGATAGAGAAGTTTGTAAGAAGAGTAGTGACAACGGGAACCCCTGTCTTTAGGGAGTGGATGGTTTTCTTTTCGTGTTATTCTGCACTTAGTCATGCAATCAACAGGGGCCCAGGTGCTAACTTACTAGCTGATGAACTACGGGGCTTGACCAGGAGGGTTGGAGGGAATTTCAGAACAAAGTCAAAGGGAATAGCGCTGCTCATCACCCATGTACCTTTCTACCCAGGACAGGGCCACATGTCTTCTGGGAATAAGTCCTAATTTCTGATTGTATCTTGCAACCAGGTCTTCAAAGGGAGCCCATACTTTCCTAAAATAGGTTTGATTCCTTCTACCAGAGGTCATAATGACATTTATTGAAATACTAGAGGCCTGATGCATGAATTTGTGCAAGAGTAGGCCTTCCTTCCCTCGGCTGCCGGCACCGACTTCCCTCTGGCACCCGGGACCCAGGCTTCCCTCGCAGCCCCAGCTTCGTCCGGGAAGTCATCCAGTCTAATTAGCATATTATGCTTTTATTATCCCATATAATAAAAGCCCAGCGACCAAAATGGCAGAACGACCAGAATGACCAGAGACCAGAACTACCAGCCCTTCGCCCAGGCCGGTCTGCAAACCACCATGGCCCCTCGCCCTAGTCAGCCCCGCCCCCCCAGCGGGGACCCCCACCCCAATTGAGAGCCCCCATCAGGGCAGGCCAGCCAGCCCCCACCCATGCACCAGGCCTCTATCCTATATAATAAAAGGGCAATATGCAAATTGACCCCAACGGCGGAACTACCAGAACTACCTCTGGACCAGTCACTATGAGGCGCACTGACCACCTCTCAGTCTCTTCCCCTGGCCAGCAGGCTCCAATCTCCTGATGGCGAATGGGGAGTGGGTGGTGGCGGGGGGCGGGGCTGGCTGCAGGCAGCCAGGGAAGATGGCCCTGACTGCAGGCCAGGCCTAGGGACTGTACCCATGTATGAATTTTGTACGCCGGGCCTCTAGTTATAGATAATTTATCACCATAAAGCTTACCCATTTAAAGGATGCAATCCCATGATTTGTAGCATAGTTACAAGGTGGTGAAACCATCACCACGATCTAATCTTACATTTTCGATGCCCCCAAAAGAAACCCCTGCAATCATTGGCAATGGAGCAATATTGTGAACCAAGGACTTTCTCTTGCTTTTCAGGGCATTTGGTTGAAGAAATCATCTAAGAAGCCAAAGGGAATGAATGGGCCAGATTTTAAGTGTTTCGATCCAGAGCCTCTCCTCCTTCTACCCACAGACTCAGAAGCACTGCAGTCCCAGCTCCTGGGAGAGTCCTGGAAGGAGCTGCTGAGGAGATGCAGCAGCCACCTTGGAGCACGCGAGCTGGGGCAGGCTTTTCAACAGCAGTAAACATACTCGGGCTCAGCCCGGCACTAGGAGGAAGTGCTTTTTACCTGGGTGCGCAGACAACGTGCCCAAGTGACGGGCTTTCCCTTGTAGAAGCTGAACTGATCTTGGTTACATAGTCAATTATTGCTCATTCCACACAAGAAGAACTGGTAAGGAAGGGAGGTGGTGACAGTCCACTAGGTAACACTGAGGTGCCCACCAGCCAGCTGTTCTGATGCAGTAAGAACCTCAGATGTGCAGAGAAACATCTTTACCTCCTGATAATTCTTTTTTTAAAAATATATATTTTATTGATTTTTTACAGAGAGGAAGGGAGAGGGATAGAGAGTTAGAAACATCGATGAGAGAAAAGCATCTATCAGCTGCCTCCTGCACACCCCCTACTGGGGATGTGTCTGCAACCAAGGTACATGCCCTTGACCGGAATCGAACCTGGGACCGTTCAGTCCCCAGGCCGACGCTCTATCCAGTGAGCCAAACCGGTTAGGGCTTTAAAACACACACTTATGCGCGCGCACACACACACACACACACACACACACACACACGCACACGCAGAACCTTAGCAAGTGAAAAAATAAAAAACCAACAACAAAAAAGGGCCTGATCTGCTCTCAAAAGTAACTATAGATCCTATTCAACTATTTTGCTACAGTAAAGCCAGATGTGAGACACAGTTTGAGTGACAGTTGATTAGGTTGGTAGATCTCATTCATAATACAAGTCAGAAAACCAACCGAAGCGCGGCGCGAAGAGCCAGGCACTCAGGACCATGAATTGGGTGACATGCATAAAGTATTTCAGGAGAGAATCTCACTGAAAGGCAGACAGCTCCCGGGGAAATGATATGGAAAAAGTCTGAAGAAAACATCTCAAAATAAATGAAGTACTTATTGCTGAAAAATGAGCTCAGATCGCAGCCAATTCCAAAGTTCAGAATTTACTGCGCGCTGAGGCCTTTTCCTCCAGTTCCTTGTCTCTTGTTTCACTAACAACAAGGGACTCTCCACACTTCCTGTGAAATACAACAAGGCGATTTTTGCCGTAATAAACCCACATGGGCATGACAAATCCAAGCATGCAAAACGTTTAACACCCCAGCTCCCAGACACTTGAGGGACAAAATCCGATTATGAATTATATGCTACAATAAATAGGGCTCGATGTTTCATAAAGCAATTTATAGTTCATAAAAATGACAAAACGTACCTGTCAGACAGAGCGTGGAGCGTGGTTCCCTGGGCTGCCTGGTGGAAGAAAGGGCAGAGATGTTTATTTAATATTCTGACTTCTAAATTACGTGGTCAATCAGCACTTAAAAAAACCCGTGTCACACACATTTTTGCCATGTGGCCAAATATTAGTAGTAAACTACAGGCAACACAGTAAGAGCTCTGTCATGTTATGCAGTAAATGCTCCTGTAGAGTTAACTGAAGCCCCTGCAGTGCCCACCTGCCACCAGGGGGCGAGCGTGGGGAGGCAGGAAGTGCCAGGCTGGTGAGGTTGGACAGGTCTCAGGAGACCCTCCCCCCCAAACCCTCCCCAGCTATTTCATTTGTATTCCCTGTTGCTTTATTCTACTTTCCTGTAAGAAAAAAAAAATCTGTTTTGGTTCCTTTATGGCATCTCTCCCAATGAAGGTACACCTTTTGACCCAGTTTTCTGATTTATTGAAAAAGTCACCACAATTGTAACCTGGAACACTGACGGAAATATGATATTATGAGATATGGATTTGTTTTTAGGCAATGATTTTGTGGCAATTTTAAAAGAATCTTTAGAGATTCATATTGAAATATTTATGGATACCATTACAGGATCTGGGATTTGCTTTGAAACAATATACTTGGAGGGAAGGGAGGGTGGGTGGACATGTACATAAAACAATGTCCTTGGGTGGGTAACTGCTGAAACCAGGTGATGAGCACACTGGGGATTATTATATTATTCTAGACTTTTTATGTGTTTGAAATGTTCTATAAAACAAAAAAAGAAAAACAAAGCTAAAGACCTCCATTTCTCCATCAGATTTCCCCCATTTTGTACTCACTGCCTTTTGTCTGCTTAGCCTCGCTTGTCCGTGTGCCCCCCGTGGCTGAGCTCCGAAGGCAGGGGGCACACTCATTCTACGTCTGTCTCCGAAGTCATTATTGGGAGGGATCACAGCACGGCCTGTGAGACCAAGGCGTACTCGGGGGCACAAGAAATAGGAAGTGCACATGGCCCGTTTTCACTGCGTACAGGACACAGGGCACGTTTACTGTTTACCAGGGGCTCCGGAATGTTTCCCATGCCATTCCTCATTCCATGTGGATAGCAGACAGACAGACAGCATCTTCAGATGAGAAAAACACGACCTGGCAGAAACCTGAACCCTGTCACAGAACTGAATCCACCCTTGGCGACACACAAACACGTCTTGGATCACTCGGTCAGCCCAGCACTGGCCGGATTCCCAGCACATGGAGACCACTGCCGGAGGCTCCAGGAGGGATCAGAGCAAAGGCAGGACGCACAGTCACTGTGTTAGAGAAGCCAGTCCCTAGGCAGGAAGTCCGAGCAGAGGTCCAGGGAGGACTTGAAGACACCTGGGCATTAACATGCAAGTGGAAGATGAGGGGGGGGGGGGCGGATGTGGGTGCTGGTAACTCATGGCCGCTGGGCCACGGGCTCCTCAGTCAGGGCCTGGGACGGCTGGCAGGTGCTCAGTGCACATCTGATGAGGAACTGTCAAATGGATGAATAAATTCGGGAAGCCTTCTCACTACTATCTGAGCAAAGCTGCAAAGACAAGGAGGGATGTGCTCAGGGGAAAGAGGCATTGGTCGCTCCAGACTGCAAGGTGGAGCCAGGGCCTCCGCGGCCAGGCCTCTAGCAGCAGTTCTCAGCTGGAGCACCTCTTGCCCAAACAGCAAGGCTATTGGAGTTGAGTAGGGGTGTTTCTGTGTCTTAACAGCAAGGGGGGTCACTATTGGCCTTTGATGCCTGGGGCCAGGGATGCTATAGCCTCTCAAAGGTCCGATGGGTCCCTTGTACAATGAAGTGGTCCCCTTAGAAGGACAGGGGTTTCTGTGGAGAAACACCGCAGCAAAGGCCGGAAAGAAACCTGACAGGAGCGACACAGGAACTGAGACTAAATCAACAACAGGAACTTGGATAATTCCCACAGGGACATAACCACACTGACGGAGGAAAACATAAGCTCTGTTGACCTGGGCACTGAAAGTCTTCATCCTGGGAGAGGTTCACTGCTCGTTTATGTGAGCGCCTCAAGACTCAGCTTCCAAACTGCTCTTTCTACCCTAAGTGGGATGGTGAGGGAGCTGGCCAGCCATGTCCAGGCTCCAGTGGACAGTTTATGGCGTTACTGCCCCTCTTTTTTCTCTGGATTCCTGTGAATTAAGGGCCAAATGCCAGGGCATTCCAGTGTCACGAGGGGAAAGAATATCCACAGAGTGCTCTCTTGCTGAGGACACCTTAGGGGGCAGAACGAGGCGTGGAAAGAGGTGAAAAGCCTTAGGAGGCCGTGGAGACCAGGAGTCCCTCCTCCTCCCCCCATACCCCTCCCGTCTTCTCTGTGCTCTGGGGGGGGGGCAGCCCAGGCACCACTACAAGGAGCACCCGGCAGGTGCAGGGCAGCCCCCACCGTCCCCAGGGCCCCATTGCTCAGCAAGATGCTTTCCTTTTTGGCAGCTATACTTGAAAAGAACCGAACTCCCTACTCCTGACTCTGCTTGGCTAAATATACGAACACGTATTTTGAACTCCCCCAAGAAAAGGTGGCATGCGTGATTAGTTCAGTCTCAACGCATCTCCGCAGGAGGCACTGCAGACGGACTTTTCCAGGAATAACAGAAACCTTAAGGCGCGATATGGCTGGAAGGTCAACAGACACCTCTAACACGGCGCCTGCGTGTCCCCGGCCAGGGCTGCCAATGTTTCAGCAGCCTGCTGACTTTGTTCTCTCCTGCCTCCAAATACTTCCCGCTGACTTTTGTGATAAGGAAACGGTGCCCATTGATGTGCAACATATGAGAAAATTATTTTAAAAACAAAAGCAAAAACAAGCACAAAACAAGCAACTCTGCTGTGGTGCCTCCAGGTGGCGGTCCCTGCTGAGGACGCCGCGCAGGTGGCTGCCGGCCAAGTGCAGGGATGGGACTGAGCGGAGGCGCGGGGCAGGGCCGCCTTCCGCCAGCAGATGGACCTGACGCTGGCACCAGAAGGCCCTCTTGGGCTGAGCCACGGCATCCCACCAGCGCTGGACAATGACTTCCTGTGATCCTCACTCTCCCATCTGTCCGCATGACCAACGTTTCCGCACACTTAACACTGTGGCACGGAGCACCAGCGGCCACCTGCACCGCAATTTTTCATGCCTGAATTTGATGGCGCTATTTAATTTGCAGTTATTTTACATCATTAAAAACGTTATGGAGACGGCTCATCATCCATCAAGAAAGCAGATGAGAATATGTTAAAGTTTTAAACAATAACTTTAAAAAAGCTTTATGGCATTAAGTTAAAATGGTATGTCATATACCAAAGCAAAGACCGCCTATTTTATTTTATTTTTTTACTGCTCTTCTTTTAAATAAACTTTGGCTTTTGGACACTGTTTTCTTTTACTGTTGAAAATAATAAAATAAATAAACACTGGAACTAAATCGCAGAGAAAAAACTGCTTAGGTGACTCATAATTGAAGCCTGAAGGAAGACGCAGCGTAAACTAGATGAATTGCTCAATTTCCTTCTTTCAAGCGTTGTGTGTTACAGCACCCATATTTCTCCCTTCCTGAATCATCACCTCGGCTAGTAACTTTCCTCACCCAGTTCTCGGCAAAATAGTGGAGAGGGTGAAGGGAACACTTCACTGATCTTTCCCAAGTGCCTTACGCATTCACGAGTGACTCTGAAGCATAAGCTCTGAGACAAGTTTTCTGCCAGAAATAATCATTTTCCAGTTCTTTTTAAGAGATGGCTTTTCCCCCCCCGTCTTTATTATAGAAAGCTTAGAGCATGGGACAGAAGCTCTATCCAGGTTTCAATGTATGCGAAATAAGTTACTAGTCCCAGTCTGTTACTGAAGGAAAATCAAAGGAGAAATGAGGTGCCCTAATGGCAAACCGGGTTGAGCGCAGGGCAGGCTCATGGACGCTGGAGTGTGGAGGGGAGCGAGGGAAGAGGCTGGGATTCAGAGGGTGCCAGGAAGATGCAGTTTCGTTCCTTCCTGATGGAAACAGAACGAACTGGACAGCTCCATGGTTCAATCTGAAGCACCTGTGGTGTGCAGGTAACAGGCTGGGCGTGGGTGACAATCAAACAGAGAAAGCTCTCGCCATACTGTATGTAGGGCCTAGAGGTGTCAGACATAAAAGTTACACATTCTTGATTGCACAAACGTTCTAGATTGCAGGGGCTCTGGCTGAAGAGGAGTGGGTGCCGGGGGACCTCCCGTGGAATGAGTGGGTGAGGAAGGCCCACTAAGTCAGGGGTAACTAAGCTGATGCCTAAAGGATAAACAAGAGTTACTGGAGCAGAGATGTGAGAGAGGGTGTGGAAGGACGAGCTCCACGCAGGCCTAGGTCCTTACTCAGTTAAAGAACAAGAAGGTCACTGTGAGGGAACTCAGAGGGTGGTGGGGACACTGGCAGGTCCCAAGGGCTTTGGAGGTCAAGTTAAGGATTTGGGGTGCTCTCCACCTAAGAAACCGAGGAGTGGTTCACATTAGGGGAAGTTGGGTAAGGGATGTACGGGGCCTGTTCGTACATTCTCTGCATCTTCTGATGATTCAATAAAAGTTTTTTGTTAATCCTCACACAAGGATTAACAAAAATATTGTTCCATTGATTTTAGAGAGAGTGGAAGGAAGGGGCGGGGGAGAGAGGAACACACTGATTGGTTGCCTTCTGCATGTGCTTGGACCAGGCCTGGGGATCGAACCTGCAACCCAGGTACATGCCCTTGACCAGGAATCAAACCCATGACCCTTTGATGCACGGGTCAACTCTAACCACTGAGCAACACCAGCCAGGGATGATGGATCTATAATTAAAAAAAATAAAGTAGGGAGTGAGGCAATATGATTTACCTTTTTATTTTTTTCCCCAAATTTCACTTTGGCTTCTGTTTGGTAAATGGATTTGGGCAGGAAGGTTCAATGTTTAGGTTGTTGCATTAATCTAAGCAAGAGAAGTGCATGGTAGCAATGAAGGTGAAGAGAGTTTGTGTTACTTTTTGGAGGCA